CGGGCATTTTTAATTCGAATACACATATTTCCAGCCCTGGGAAACCAAAATCAAAACTAAGCCTGTGGCTGTCAGAGCGGGTCTGCCTCACCGCCACCCTATAGGACAGAGTGTGCTCTTGATTGTGATTTACATGGAAGCAGATGGTCAGGCCTCTCTCATCCAAGGCACTGCTGGGTGGGTGGAGCCACCAAACCTTGGGGTGGTGTCACTCCCGGTCCTTAGGATAGGGTAGAACTGCCCCCACAGTCTCCGAGACTGTAACTCTTCCCTGGGGTAGAAAGCTTTATCTTTCTCCCGCAGAGCGGCTGGTGGTTTCGAACTGCTAACCTTGCTGTCAGCAGCCCCAGCCGCAACCACGCAGTGCAAACGGTGGCGGCCCCTCAGGAAGTGACCTCTAAAGCTCTGGGTCTCTCCCGCCCCCCAGGTGGACGACGTGATCGCGGAGCTGCGGCTGCGGCAGTGCGCCCACACGCGCGTGGGCAGCGAGTCGGTGCGGGGTGTGTCGGGGGGCGAGCGGAGGCGAGTCAGCATCGGGGTACAACTCCTGTGGAACCCAGGTGAGGGCCGGGCGGCCAGTCGGGGGGCAGGGGCTTGCGCTGCCCGCCTTGGCCCAGCTGGCCCGCGTGCTGCCGCCCCACCGGCCTCTCTCTGTGTCTGGAAGGCATCCTCATTCTGGATGAGCCCACCTCGGGGCTGGACAGCTTCACGGCCCACAACCTGGTGTGGACCTTGTCCCGGCTGGCCAAGGGCAACCGTCTGGTGCTCATCTCCCTCCACCAGCCCCGCACGGACATCTTCCGGCTCTTCGACCTGGTCCTTCTCATGTCGTCGGGCACCACCCTCTACCTGGGGGCAGCGCAGCACCTGGTCCACTATTTCACCGAGATTGGCCACCCGTGTCCTCGCTACAGCAACCCCGCGGACTTCTACGGTGAGCCACCAGGCCAGAGGGCCGGGTCCCCTGGGTTCCCCACGGGCCCAGGGCCCCCAGAGGCCACGAGAGGAGCAGGGAGTGGGTGGGTGGACAGAAGCCCCATTTGCCAGGTAGCAAACGCTACCTGTAGGAACTGGCAAACTGCAGCTTCCGACCAATCGGCACTCTGCCGTGTAGGCGAGCGAACCGGGTTAGAGTTGGGCCGTCAACAGTTCGAAACCACCAGACGTTCTGAGGGAGAAAGACGTGCAAACTTTCTACTCCCTGAGACAGTTAGGTTCTCAGAAACCCGTGGGGGCTGTTCTAGCGTGTCCGACGGCGTCAACAGGGAGTTCGGTTTGGGGTTTGGTGGAGATAAAATTCAAGAGTGTTTGGTTCGCTGAAGAATGCATCCCTTGTTGGCGCTCCAAGGGGAAATGCAGGCTACTGGAGGTCAGGATGAAAACTTAAAGCCCAGCCCTGGTGCCCCCTCAGAGGCAGGGAGCCCCCAGCCTGGCCCTGACGGCTCAGGCCTGCTGGTGATAGCCAGCTCAGCTCTGCAGGGCTCAGATGTTCATATGGGACTTACAGGAGCACAAGCCTCTCCCCCCTTAGTCCTGGAGGGACAGCTGCCCCCACTCCAGGCAACACCTTAGACCCTGAGTGCTAAGGGTCAGTAGGCTGCCTGGCTGGTGGCACAGCTGCACCAGGGCCCACAGGCCTCCTGGGTCATGGCCTTGACACATGGACCATGGGGTCAAGGAGCCCAACTGCCCCACAGAATGGAAAGGTGTGGTAAGGACCTCACCAGGAACCACGGGGCCAGGACCATGCCCTTGAGGGCCAGAGGCACAAAGCTTCCGAGGGTCAGGGTCATTGGCACCTTTATAGACAAGAACGGAGACCAAAGTGCCAAACAGCCGGCCTGCCTTGGCATAGCTATAGGGGGGTAGAACTAGGACTCCCCACACACACACCTGGAGTGTTGGCCCACGCCTGCCCCCCCAGCTCTGCTCTCCTGCCCTCCTCATGAGCATCACAAGCCACCCTGGATCCGTCGGTCTCCCGGGGCACTAACCCTCACCATGGGTGAACTCACAGAGCCGGCACCCTCCCCACCCGGGTCAGGCGTGGCCCGGTTTCCTGCCAGCATGTTGTCCTCAAGTCAGTTGTTCTATCTGGAGATAAGAGGGCAGAGTGCACATGCCAAGCTGGCTGCCAGGGAGAGATCTAAAGTAACCCCGGGGAGGGGTTAAGAGAAGTCAAGCATCCAGACCAGGATGACTGACTCAGGGCGACCCCGTGTGTGTCAGCCGCACTGTGCTCCATCGGGTTTTCGGTGGCTAATGGTTTTGAAGCAGATCACCAGGTCTTTCTTCTGAGGCACTTCTGGGCAGCACAGACCTCTTACCTCTCAGTTAGCAGTTCAGTGCCCTCACCGTTGGCCACCTGTCGTTATTAGATGCCATCAAGTCCGTTTTGACTCCTAGCGACCCCTAGGTACAACAGACCCCTGCCCAATCCTGCACCATCCTCAGAACGGGCCTGTGCTGGCACGCCTCATGGCAGCCACTGTAGATGGAGTTTGTGTAGGGCCCTCCTCTTTTATCATTGACCTTCTAAGTTGCCAAGCATGATGTCTTATCCAGGGACCGGCCCGTCCCTGAGAACATGTCCAAAGCAGACGAGATGCAGTCTCCCCGTTCTTCCTTCTAAGGAGCATTCTGGCTGTACTTCTTTCGAGGTGGGTTTGTTTGTTGTTGCGGCAGCCCACGGTGTGTTTGATATGCTTTGCAAACACGCTCATTCAAATGCATCAACTTCCTTACTTTCACGTGCACATGACTTAATTAAAATACCACAGCATCGGTCAGGCACTCTTTCGTCCTCAATGGGACCTCTTCCTCAATGGGACCTCTTCCTCGCTTACACTTTAAAGAGGTTTTTTGTAGCACACTCGCCCCGTGCAAACGTCGTGTGATTTCTTGACTGCTGCTTCCACGAGTGTTGGTAACATGCAATCCTTGATAACTTCAAGCCCCATGTAGCCTGACGATGTTTATGGGTTCAGTTATGAGGATTTTTCTTTCTTTTTTTTTTAAGCCTTTGTTGTGAATGAGGTGGAGATTTGCATAGGAGGTGGTCCTTTTTGTATGCTACAATTTCAACAACTTATCAACCCTCCCAGCCCTGTCTGTTCCCCCTCTTGAAGATTGTGATTTTATTTGCATGGAGTGTAATCCACATGGGAGGTTGTCATCTTTGACCTTCCTCAGGAAGAGCTCCGAGTTCTTCTTTGCTTCCGGCAAGCAAGGCTGGGTCATCTGCATATTTCAGACTCTTAATGAGCTTTTCTCCGATCCTGCTGACATGGTCTTCTTCACATGGTCCGGCTTCTAGGACTGTTTGCCCAGCATACAGAGTGAGTAAGGATGGAGAAGGGGTACTACCCTGACACATACCGTTTCCGGTTTTAAACGATGCAGGATTCTCTGGCTCTTCTCCCACCGCGTCTCAGGTTCTGCCTGAGCACAATGAAGTGTTCTGGGATTCCCATGCTCCTCTGGGCTCTCCAGAGTTTGTGCTGGTCCACATAGTCGAATGCCTTTGTATAGTCCATAAAATGCAAGCAAACATCTTTCTAGTATTCTCTGCTTCCAGCCCAGATCCATATTACCCATAATATCCCTTGTCCCATGTCCTCTTCTGAACTCACCTTGGATTTCTGGACCTCCCTGTCACACACTTTACTGGCATGCAGTATTAATGGTGTTGCTTGATAATTCCCACATCCTAGTGGATTACCTTTCTCTGGAAGGGCACAGATATGGATCTCTTTCATACGATTGGCCAGGTGGCTGTCTTCTAAATGTCTTGGCATAGGTTTGGTGAGAGCTTCCAGTGCCTCACGGGTTTGTTGAAACATCTCAGTTGGCACTCCATCAGTTCCTAGAGCTTGTTTTGCACCAGTACTTTTAGCGCAGCTTGGATTGCTTCCTTCAGTACCATTGATTCTTGCTCATGTGCCATCTTTTGAAATAGCTGAAAGTCGACCAAGTCTTCTTGGCATCTTCCATCTTTGGTGTAGTCATTCCTTCCATCCTGCGTTGGGCTACTTGATGTTCATAGAATTCTTCCATGTCGCACTCCAGACTTGGATTTTTCCCTCAGTTCTCTCAGGTTTGCTCAGGGTGTCCTTCCATTTCGGGTTTGTAACCCCAGCTCTCTCTGCGTTTTATTACGATGCTTTACTTTGTCTTCGTGAGCTGCCCATTGACATTTTCTGTCAGCTCTTTTACTGCACCAGCTTGTCCATTTGCTTTATCTACTCTTATGCAAAAGCAAGTGTAGGTCTTCATCGTATGACTTTTTCATGAGTGTCTGCTTCCTTCATGTTGGATGCTCTCCAGGGCATGCAACCACTCATGTGGTTGGGGCTATGAGTGTTTACTGAGAACACCCTGCCCTGGTTGGGTCCCTAAATTCACGTGGTGTATATCCAAGGTGGTGTGTTGGCTCTACAGATGTGTTTTAATTTTCTTCAGCTTCAACTTGAACTTGTCTATGAGCAATTGACTGTCTGTTCCACAGTCAGCCTCTGGCCTTGTTTTTGGCTGATGATCTTGAGCTCCTCTACCGTCCCTCCCACAGATAAAGTAAATCCGATTATCACCTGGCAAGATCCACATGTTTGTTCATGATGTTGAAAAAAGGTCTTTGCCATATGTGCTTGACACAGTGGATGTCTGTATGGATTGTGATGAGAATTGTCCGAGCCCCCAATAAAATAATTTTTTTAAAAAAGAAAAAAGGTCTTTGCAATAAAGAAGTCACCGGTCTTGAAAAATTCTATCATTCCGTTTCCAGCGATGTTTCTATCACCAACCAACTTCCTCTTTGTTCAACTTTTCCTTTCTGATCACCAGTAGTTGTCAATGCATCTTGATGGCATTTTTGATGAATTTCAGACTGAAGAAGGTGATAGAATTTTCTACTTTCTTCATCATTGGCTTTAGTGGCTGGTGTGTAAACTTGATCATAGCTGTACTGATTGGTCTTCTTTGTAGCTATATAGATATCCTATCACAGATAGTACTGTATTTCAAGATAGCTCTTGGTGATGATGGAGGTGACATGATGCCTCTTGAACTTGTCATTTCCAACATATAAACCCTATGATTGTCTGAGTCAGTATGGCCGATACCGGTCCATGTCAGCTCACTAATGCCTAGGATATTGATATTTCGGGGTTTTTTGATGACTTCCAGTTTTCTGAGATTCACACTCCAGACATTCCACGTTTTGATTTTTCCTTGTGGCTTGCAGCCGTTTCTTTTTCTTTTTTGCCCCATCAGCAGGGAAAAGTCCCTAAAGCTTTGCTCCATCCATGTCATTAAGGGGGGGTCCTCTACTCTGAGGAGGCAGCTCTTCCCTAGTCATGGGAGGGGGGCCTTCCCACCCAAAGGGCTGCTCTTCCAGCACTGGACCAGACACTGGTCTGCTCCTATTCAGGAGAATTCTGTTTGTGTTTGAGTTTTTCAACATTCTCCTGTCTTGGCTTTGGTTCTGTCCTGTCCTGTCCTGTCCTGTCCTGTGAGTGCTCCAGGCTGAGCCTGGCCATCAGGGTCTGGCTGCCCTTGCCTCTGGTGAGTCCTGCACCTGGCACTCTGTGAACATGGACAGGCCTGGCAGGATGAGGTCAGCCCTGAGGTCCCTGCAGCCTCATCTCTGTAAGGCAGCTCGGACTCTGTTGTGACCCTCCCTGGGTGACTCGTAGCCTTGCATCTTCTGCCCCCAGTGGACTTGACCAGCATCGACAGGCGCAGCAAAGAGCAGGAAATGGCCACCAGGGAAAAGGTTCGGTCACTGGCGGCCTTGTTTCTAGAAAAAGTGCGTGGCTTTGATGACTTCCTTTGGAGAGCCGCCCCACAGGAGCTTGCCCTGGACCCCAATGCACACAGGTAAGGTGGCTGGGCACAGAAGGGTGTGGGCATCTTGCTGAAGGGGTTGCCAGTCACCCGTCCACCCTGCCTCCCGCAGCCCCACCTGCCAGCCAGACCCTGACCACCTCCAGACGTCCAAGGACCTTCGGCTTCCTGGGGCCACACAGCAATTTACCGTGCTGATCCGGTAATTGTCCATCCTCTCATCCCACCCCCCACCCCCTTCATCCCCCCAAACAACGCCCCCTGGAAAGTCTTTGTTGTATCCCATTCAGCCCGTGGTGCCTAGGATGAGTTTGAAGGCAGAGATGAGCCTTGGAATTGTTTGAGGGAAGAGCCATCCCTTGGCCCCTAGTGAGATACAGAAATGCCGATGTCCCCCGGCCTTGACAAGAATCTCCTCGCTGGCCAGAGAACCACAGTAAGGCAGGAGCAGTGTGACCATTCAGGACAAGCTCAGGCAGGACGGGAGGTCTCTGTTCACGCCAGCCCCCAGAGAAAACTCGAGCCAACCACGGGGCGTGGGTCATTTAACAAAGACACCTTCACACCGGGTCTGTTACCTCTCACCTGGCTGGTTCTTCCTCCTTCTTCCTAACACCTTGTGACACCATTCCTAATCCACTTGTCCATTACGTACATTTTACAAAAATTCGCTATTGGAACTGTTAACTGTGTCTAAAATTCAGTGGCATTAACAATCCTCATCCTGCGGGAGCATCACTGCTCAATGTTTACAGACGTCCCCCGCCCACCCGCCTACCCCCAGTGCCCCCTGGGCAATAATGCCCAGTTTTCTCTTCCCTCCACCTCCGCTGACCCTTCTAGATGGGCCATTAAAGTGGGCTCACGCAACATCTGTCCTTTGGTGTCTGACCTAGCTCATCCAGTGCCGTGTTTCCAAGGCCCGTTCATGTTGTAGCAGACGCCAGGACTCGGTTTCTCTCCAGTGCTCAGCGATAGTCTGGTGTGTGGTTCCTCTGTCCATCTGCTGACGACGACTGGGCCGTTCCTACTTTTTGGCCACTATGGCCATGAGGCTCCTGTGGGTGGACATCCAGGCTACTTCCAGGCGTCAGCTCTCATGAGCCACGCCGTAGCTCACGTCCTTGCCCACACATCTTTGTGCATCTGATGGCCCGGGCCCGCAGGGTCACCATTGCAAGGCTGGGAAGTGGATGATTAAAAGGACAGTCCTTTGTGGAGTACCTGCTCAGAGGCCGATGCTTTGAGGAATGGTCTTATCTAATCCTGCGGAGGGTGCCAATCCGCCTATGTTATAGATAAGCGAACGGAGCCGGACGGAGTGGCTTGCCCTCAGCTTCCAGGGCTGGTGCACAGCGTTCCCTCGGCACCTCTCCAATTTATCTTTCCAGTCGTCATATCTGGAACGACGTCCGAGACCTGCCGACCCTTCTCATCCACGGGGCCGAGGCCTGTCTGATGTCGCTGATCATCGGGTTCCTATATTACGGCCACGGGGCCATCAGGCTCTCCTTCATGGACACGGCAGCCCTCTTGTTCATGACCGTGGCTCTCATCCCTTTCAACGTGATCCTCGATGTCATCGCCAAATGTGAGTCTACCCGAGCTGGAGACGGGGGTAGGGGGCCCCCACCACTCCCGCTGCCCAAAGCCCACCAGGCGCGACCTTTTGCCGAATGGTTTCCTCATGATGGTGGAGTCAAAGAGGTCTGTTGTTTTTAAAGTCTGCATATTAATATTAGTATGCAAATGACAGCAAATTACCTCTCCTTGACGTATGTGTGCCTGACCACATCGTACACATCAGAGAAAAGCAATGAAGGCCAATCCTGACTTGACTTGTCTGACCAAACATGGTGTAGTGGTTACATGTTGGGCTGCCATCTGCAAGGTCAGCAGTTCAAAACTACCCCAGCTGCTCCACAGGATAAAGACAGGGCTCTCTACTCCCATAAACACCCCCTGTCTCAGTTCTACCCTGTCGCCCGGGTCACGGTGAGTCGGCATCGCCTCGATGGCAGGGAGTGTGAGGTTTACGGGGCCTCCACACTTCCCATGAGCCTGGTGCTGCAGCGGGTTCTGAGCTATAAGTCGGGAGATCATAAGCAACCGCATTGCTGGAGAAAGTAGATCCTGTCAAGATGTTCAGCCTTTGGAAACCCACAGGGACAGTTCCACCCTGTCCTATAGGGTCACTATGAGTCGGAATCAATGACGCTAGCGAGTAGTCGTGAGTTGATCCCGACTCATAGCGACCTTACCTAGGATTCCTGAGGCTGTACATCTCCGCAGGTGCAGACAGCCTCCTCTTTCTCCAGGGGTGCAGCTGTGGGTTGGCAGTCGGACACTTCTTTACCAGGCTTCTAAGAACACAGAACAAATGTAGCCAGTGTAGCTCTTTTCACGCTTATATCGAGACCCAAATACGGTCAAGAAGGTTTTCATTTTATTATATTATTTTCAATATGTCCCCATCTCAGGCCACTCCGAGAGAGCGATGCTTTACTACGAGCTAGAGGACGGCCTCTACACCGCAGGTCCTTACTTCTTCGCCAAGGTGACTGCTCGGGACAGAGAGTCCAGGCTCAGGGTCTGGGGCGGCCGGGTGGAGGCAGCTGCCCTGCCCTGGCAGACACTGCAGAGAAGCCTCAAGCCTCCCTCCCAGCAGAAGACAGGGAGCCAGCCAGCCACCCCCAGGGACAGGCTTTCCAAGGCTTGGTACTTGCCACACGTTGACAAGAAGAATTGCTCTGCGGGAATTTCTGGGTAGCATGCACGGGCCCCACACGACAAGAAGGTGGGGGAGACCTACCATGCTTCCTCTCTCCCACCTGTCACCGCACCGAAGGACTTATGGCCATTCCAGTGGAGGCTCAGAAAGGCTGTGCTGCTGTCCCAAAGCCACACAGCAATCGATTGGGCAGGTGTGCCAGGTCTTAGGAGAACAAGCCCACGCACTGCCACCACTGCGGTTCTGAACAGCCACGAGGCCGCACTGGGGGAAACAGCAACAAGAAGCCTATAGAATGCTCAGGGGATGTTGGCCTGAGAACACGGACATGCAAAACACACACACACACACACAGCTGCAGCCGGGTTACCTTGAGCAAGGAAGGCTGGCATCTTCTGAAAGGCCTCAGCCCTGAATGCGTGGGGGGGGGGAGCAGTGGCGGGGGATGGCAGTCTGGGGGGGGGGATGGCAGTGTGGGGGGGTCAACAGCACAGGACGACACCAGGACCTGGAAAGGACGGGAGTGAGGCACCTGCTCGCTAGCTAGCCCTGTTCTTTGCAGATCCTGGGAGAGCTGCCGGAGCACTGCGCCTACATCCTCATCTACGGGATGCCCACCTACTGGCTGGCCAACCTGCAGCCGAGCCCTGAGCCCTTCCTGCTGCACTTCCTGCTGGTGTGGCTAGTGGTCTTCTGCTGCCGGGTCATGGCCCTGTGCATCGCCGCCCTGTTGCCCACCTTCCACATGTCCTCCTTCTTTGGCAATGCAATCTACAACTCCTGCTACCTCACCGGGGGCTTCATGATAAGCTTGGACAACCTGTGGACAGGTGAGGGAGGCCTGCTCCTGGCTGCCACTCCCAGCCTTGAAAGTCCAGCGGAGAGCTGGCCCTCGGCGACCTGTGCCCGGTCCATTTCCCGTGGAAATGCTTCCTTGAACAGGCAGGGGCACCTCACACGTCCCGTGTTGACTCTTGGATGTCGCTCTTGACTCTCTTATACCCGCAGTCTCCTCCCTCTCCAGCAAACAGGCAACTCTGCCCCCGATTGCTGTCAAGTCCATGCCAACCCCTGGAGTCCCCATGCGTCTCAGAGAAGAACAGCACTGCCAACCTTCACGTCTAGCCGGGTCCATTAATCGTTGGCATCTCCAGGGACCCCTTCTGCCCCCTAAGTCTTTCTGAAATGTTCCCTTGCTGTCCCCCAGCCCTGGCCCCTGTCACCTGACCCTGGGTCATTGCAACTGTCTAGTCTCTGTAACTCTGGTCCCCCCACTTTCTGACATAATGGTCCACCTCACTGCCTTACTCAGATTCTTCCTGGCTGCTCATTCGCTGCTGACTCAGCCCAGCTCTCTGAAGCCTCCCCACCCCCATCCACCTCCACACTCTGCTTTCTGATCTCCCAGCCTACAACTGGCTCCTGTTCTGTATTCTCTCTCTTGAGGGAGGGAGGAAAAGACATTCATATGTGTATAATAAGGTGACCAGATTTTAACATTGGTAAAGTGGGACACCATTGATAAAACTCATATCCTGGCGAAATAGCCACATGACAGCCAAAAATCATATCCCCTAGCTTGTGAATTCTTTCCAAAAATCAGGACCTTTTTAAAAACGCTGCGGGATGCAGGAAAAATTGTTAAAAATGGGGACTGTCCTGCCAAAAGCGGGACATCTGGTCACCTAAGTGTATAAGAAAGAACTTCATTTTATATCAAAGAGTAATTGTGTATTGAGAAAACATCCCAGCCCAGTCTAGATCAAGTCCATAAGTCTGATATTAGCCCATATGTCCAATACCAATCTTTAAATTCCTCTTCAGACTCATGCAGCACATGCAATGATGCCGAGTGCAGGAGGATCACAGGCCAGTGGGTGGAAAGTCTTGTGGATCCAGTGGTGGTGGAAGCATCTCAGCGCTGGCAGGGGTTTCCATATGGCTTCTCCAGCTCCCGGGCTCTAGAGTAGCTTACTGTGTTTTGTCAATAGGAATGTCTTACTGGGAGTGAGTGTGCCCTGCCTCCGGTGAGCTATTTATCTCCCTAGTGCCTCCAAATGAGGTCATCAAGCTACGACCTGATTGACAGGTTAAGGAGACCCTTTCACTCTTAAATTGATAACAGATTATGTAACTTCTACACCCACCCTCTGCCTTCTGCTCTCCCACCCTGCATCTGGCGCCTTCTCTGCTGTCAGTCGTGGGTGCAGGGTAGAACTGGGACCTTTGTAAAGCAGACAGGCCTGTCTCCTGAGGCCCCTCTGGGTGGGTGCCAGTTTCCAACCTTTCAATTGGTGGTCACGTGCCCAACTGCACTCACCCCTTTGCATAACCAGGGCCTCCTGGCGCATCTTTAAGGGAAGGCATTCCTCACCTGGTCTGCTCAGAGCCTCTCTTCTGCCAGGGACAGGGCACCAACTCAGAATCACCATCTGGGGCTGCTGGTCGTGTGTGTCCCCCCCCCCCCCTGCGGTGAGCAGGTGCTGCATGCTGGCAGATGAAGGAGCATCAGAGCTCGTGAGACAGAGCTGGTGACCCCTCCGACACTTGACCCCTTGGGCACATCCCAGTGCCCAAGTGGGCCTATGTGCACACACTCCCTTTATCCTCGCTGGCCCCCTCCCTTGGCCTAGTCCGTCCAGCACGGGTGGGGCAGGCACGGGGTGTTGACTGGGCTCTCACTGTCTCCAGTGCCTGGGTGGATCTCCAAGGTGTCCTTCCTGCGCTGGTGCTTCGAAGGCCTCATGCAGATCCATTTCAAGGGGCAGACTTATTACATGGAGATTGGCAACCTCACCATCCCCGTGCCAGGAGATCAGGTAAGTAGCGATGGCTTTGAATCCCCGCTTCTCTTTTGCAAACTCCGAATGTCACTCCCTGCGCTCACGGAGGGTTTGCACCCCCCAGGTGGTCAGTGCCATGGACCTAGACTCGCACCCCCTCTACGCCGTCTACCTCATCCTCGCCAGCATCAGCGGCGGCTTCGTCATCCTGTACTACGCGGCCTTAAAATTCATCAAACAGACACCCAGACAGGACTAGTGATGTGCCCGCCAGAGGGGACCTTGAGCAAACCGTCCCGCCGCCGCCGCCGCCGCGCACGCTTCTTCCCAGGGCCCAGGAGGACCACAAGGATCCCCGTGCTCAGCGGCAGCCGGCCACGCGGCTGCACTGGCACACACCGGCCACAGGATGGCAGTAGAATAAAGACAGATGAAAAGCGTGTCTGCTCACTGCCCCGGGCTTGCTCTTGCAGGGAACCCGAAAACCTGTGGCATGTACAGCATGGCTACTTTATTTCCTCTTGATATGTATTGATACAGCCCATTGGAGGCAGGGCCGGGTCAAAGTCTATAAGCATTGAGTGGCTAGGCTCTGTGGAAATAGTTAGACCCTGGGGCAAACGATAACATCAGAAGCAGCAAAACGTTTGGCGTCATCTTCCAGGGTCCCCAACCTTCCCAATATAGAAATAAGCTACTCTCCACATAGAAAGTCATCTTCTAACAGCAAACTGACAAGAAGCCACCCCATCTTTTCGTGTGGGTGCGGAATTCATTGAGCGTCTACCCTGTTCCAGGCACAGAGCAAAAATGCTTGACATAGGTAAGACCATTATACTCACAGAACAATGTTTTGAGATCACTTTATAGATGAGGACACCAAGGCACAAGACAAATTCCATTTGCTAAGGCCACACAGCTGCTATGTGGTGGAGCCACTGCCGGCACGGGCCCTGCAAGGCTTGGGTGGCCAGGAAGGCTGGGGGTGGGGCAAGGGGGTCTTCCCAGGCTGGGCCCACCTAGGCAGACTCTTAGAATTGCATCTCAACAGGCCGCACTGGTCTCAGGACCAGCCTCCAGCCATTCACAGTGGTCGGGGTGGGACGGTGCAGCCTGGTTATATGCCTGGCTGTTGAGCAACCAGGACTATCAGCTAAGATGCGTGTGCTGATACCAAGGAAGGCTTGCTTCCAAAGGAAAATTAGAGTCCAGGTGCAAACAAGGCGGGAGGTGGGTGCCACAGAGGCAAACAAGAGCTCACTGCTGGTTCCCTGGTGTTCGCAGTTACAAGTGTGGGTGGTGCCCGACCAGCAGCACGGCACCACCTGAGGGCTTGTCAGCATCCCAGGCCCCACCCAGACTCGAGTCAGAGCTCTCATGTGAGGAACACCCCTGGGGACTCGTGTACCCATTCGAGTTTGGGCGGCAGTGTTCTAGCATACTGCCTCTGTAACCAAACCTCCAGCTGACTGTGGATTGTGCTCTGACTCGGTGATTGTGTGTGTGTGTGTGTGTGTGTGT